CGGCCGTCCGATCTTCCCAACCCTAACCGTATTTATAAGAGACCTCCGCCCACGTCCGAGAAACCCTATCGACTCGGCGCAGCCACCACCGAAGCAGACTCCGGAGAGCGGGCAAGGCGGAGACCGAGATGGCGCGCGGCGTGGCGGCGGCTACCAAGGGCGGCGCGGGCGCCGGGAAGAAGAAGGGGTCGGTCACCTTCGTGATCGACTGCACCAAGCCCGTCGACGACAAGATCATGGAGATCGCGTCGCTTGAGAAGTTCCTGCAGGAGCGCATCAAGGTCGCCGGGGGCAAGGCCGGCAACCTCGGGGACTCCGTCACCGTCGCCCGCGACAAGAGCAAGGTCACCGTCACCTCCGACGGGGCCTTCTCCAAGAGGTACGGACATGCAGCCGCTCCCTCCCTCCCCAGATCCACGCACAAGCGCAGTCCTGGTCGGGCGTGGTTGCTGGGTAGCACTTGTTGAATCGTAGGGCAGATGTATCAAAGGTTGTCAGTCTGCTAGTGGACCGCGATTAGGAATTCTCTCTCCATTTGTGATGGCTGAATAATGTGGAGCGCTTGAAGTATTCTGTCGACGCATTCTAAGTTCGTATTAGTTTTTACCATGATATCTTTCAATGTCAGTCCAGTATTAGAGATTGAGATGGCAACTGTATTAGTGGCTCCATCAGTAGCAGATTTGCTGATTGCACGCTGTTACATGGTGGAAACTGTTGTCACTAGTCATTACTACAGTTCTTTTCACTTTCTGACATAGAACTATACAAGTTGTGGCTCTTTCGGTTACAGTTGATGTTCTAGTGCTTGCTTTTTGTTTTGTTGGTCAATGTTTCATTTTAGCCATGAAAATTTTATGCTGGTACAGTTTTTCTTCCTGACGGATGATCACATAAGGCATGTTGCCTATGGTGTGAACCTAATTTAGCCCCCTCTGTTGGAGGTCCAGAATTCTGGATACAAGTCTTGCTTCAAATCTTTATTATCCATTTTAGTAGTAAATGCTTCAAATACAGTTTCACCCAAGTCCTGCTTAAAAATGAGTATTGCTTCTGTTATCCAGTTTAGTAGTCCATACAACGCATCTGTTACCTGTCTCGTGAACAGTGGCTCCTGTGTTCATATGCTGCTTTTGTTCATTGTGTATCATGCACTCCTCTTATGTTGAATCTCATATGTTCTCATTTTCGCAGGTACTTGAAGTACTTGACGAAGAAGTACCTGAAGAAGCACAACGTGCGTGACTGGCTTCGGGTGATTTCATCCAACAAGGACCGCAGCGTCTACGAGCTCCGGTACTTCAACATTGCTGAGAACGAGGGCGAGGAGGAGGACTAGATGTGCACTGCCTTGTTTCTGTGCCGTGTGAAACTTTGAACTTGTTGGAGCACTTCTGCAGTAGAGTTTTGATGTTTATGTTTTCACCCCTGTTTTGAATTGTGGCCAGGACGCCATGTGATGGATGCTTAGATAACCAAGCTGAAGAATTGTCCGTTCTTGTTCTTGTGGTTTATAGAAATGTTGGTGAGAGTATGTGGGGCGTAGAAATGTTGCAACAGGCACGGTTTCCTTCTCAAGTCAAATGCCTTTATTAAGTATCAACCCATTTCCTGCAGGGTCCAAATTAAATCCAATAAACAGCGTCCTCGATTGCCTCTTCAGGGTGCTCTTGCTACTGAGAGTTTGATTGAATCACAGACAAACAAATGGAATTTTCGTTTGATTGAATCACATGAGAAACGATGTGTGTCCTAGAAATGTTGCAACACGCACGGTTTCTGGGAAAGGGAAAAAATGGAGAATATCTTTTAGAACCCTAGAACGAATTTCACTTGGAGCAACAGGGTCAGGTCACACAAGTATCAACCCATTTCCTGCAGGGTCCAAATTAAATCCAATAAACAGCGTCCTCGATTGCCTCTTCAGGGTGCTCTTCCTACTGGATTAGAGTTTGATTGAATCACAGGATTTTTTCTAAAAGGTTGTAGTGGATACTAGGTTTCCTAGGGCCTCTTTGGTTCATAGGAATTGTAAAGGATAAAAACTTGGTAGGAAAAATCCCTTTGAACCTATTTCTATATAGGATAGGAACCAATCCTTCACATTTCAAAAAAAAAAAACATTAGCCTACACTCGATGAAATTTTTTCCATGGAACAAGCATTGTCTAGGATAGTACTCCTGTATAAAGTTTAGCAACAAAACGACTTTCATGGTATTCAGAACAAATAAAACAAAACTGATTATATTAACCTTACTTTTAAAAACAATAGTACATAAGTCATTTATGGTATTCAGAACAAATAAAACAAAACTGATTATATTAACCTTACTTTTAAAAACAATACTACAGAAGTCATTTATCCTTAAAATTTACACGTGAGTAAAAACACGAGTAAAATGCATCATGAGTCCTAAAACTATTAGAGGTATGTCAGTTTAGTCCTATAACTTTGAAACCGTAGTTTTGGATCCTAAAACTATTGGAGGTGTGTTAGTTTAGTCCTATAACTTCGAAACTACAGTTTTGGGTCCCAAAACAATGTAAGTTTGTTCATTTCATGTCCAAAGCTTGCATGGCCAGCATCCATGGTGCATTTTTTTAAATGAGCTCTTTATATGTGTTTACTTCCCCAAAAGTGGTACATGCGCTTCTATGTAGTGAGCGAATTAACGAGCCAAATGAGCTACTCGTGATACTCGCGAGCTAGCTCGTTAAGCTCGTTTATATTAACGAGCTAAAATTGTTGTTCAGCTCGGCTCATTAACTAACAAGCACGAGCCTTAACGAGTCGAGCTTCCGTGCTCGTTAAACTCATGAGTAACGAGCTTTTCGTCCAGCTATGGTCGCTCACTACATATATGATGATTGGATCATGCAATGTCGTGTTTTAAACTTCATAGAGCTAGATCCACATCACTCGGGTAGTGTTCAACCCGGCAATCCGACCCATGGGCGGCCGCGCACATAGGCACCCGAACCGAATGGGTATGGTATGGGTCGCCATCTTCACCCATGGGTAAGCCCGATGGGTAACCCGATTAGTCGTGGGTAGGGTATGGGTACGAGTTCGTGTCCGTGGGTTACCCATGGACCGCCCGACTAATACTAATAAGTACATATATATGTTTTAGGACAGCATGAACCCATGTTGCTTTGTTATTGTTGTAGACAGACAGAAGGATGAAATAACAAAAAGCTTAGCTCAGTAGCATCAATGGAGCAACATGGCCGGCTTGTTGGGCCACCAAAGCCAGCCCATGTGCTGCTCTGCATGCACGTAGCAAGCAGCATACGCAGCTTGCCGGCTGCATTAGTACCACCTCGCCTAGCGAGCGCATAGGAAGTGGAGCGCTGTCTATATAAGTCAATAGAAGAAGCATTATGCGAGTAGAAATCCTTGGTTGGGAGGAAGCGCATGGTCCCGGTAGGGAGCATAAATTAAATAACAATAAACATATTTATTACACCCGATGGGTGTCCCATTCGGTCGGGTAACCCGATGGGTTTGGGCATGGGCATGAGATTTGACCCATGGGTAGGGTTGTGGGTTGGTCGTAGACCTGATAAGTGTTCCGGGCATGGTTCTGGTAGAGGTCGACCCGACCTGGTTGCCAGGTTGAGGTAGTGTCATAGCTCAAGCAGTTTTTGAGTGTTGCCAAGAATGAAAATAGAAGGTAAGATCATGACAATCACTATGGATAATGCTTCCTCAAATGATAATGCTGCTAAGAGATTGATGGACAAGATCATTGCTAGGAAATCGGCTAAATTTATTCCTACGTACTTCCATGTTCGCTGTTGTGCGCACATTGTCAATTTGATAGATGGCATTGCTCTATTGCAAACTTTGATCAATAAGCTTAGGGATACTGTCAAGTATTTGAAAAAAATCTCCAACACGCATGTACAAATTGTTGATGATTTGCAAGTCTCCGAATATGGAAGTTGGGAGAGGTTTATGCCTGGATGTTGCTACTAGATGGAATTCTAAATGCAGAATGGTAGAGGCTTGCACTGTGTATAGGGTTGCTTTCAAAGAGTATGCAGAGGTAGATGCTACCTACAAATGGCAGCCTGGAGATGAAGAGTGGGCATTATATGAGAAAATTTAACCCATCTTGAAATCGTTTGCCGAGGTAACAACTGTATTATCAGCATCTAACTATCCTACTGCCAACATTTTGTATCCATATATCATGAATGTTAACATTGCTATCGTAGAGCATGCCATGGGTTCGAATGCAAACTTGAAAAAGATGGGAGAAACAATGCTTGATAAGTTTGATAAATATTGGGATAGCAATGGTGAATGTGAGGGAAATAAAAACAGTGGGAAAAACAAAAAAAAAGGAAAAGAACAATGTCGTGGTCATTGCCACCATTCTTGATCCTAGGTTTAAGATGAAACTTGTTGATTACTGCTTTAAGAAAATGTATGGTAAAGAGAAGGGCAGTAGTGAGGCCGAGGAAATCAAATCTGAATTCTTTGATCTCCATGCTACTTATGAGATGGAAAATCGCAAGAATGAGGCTGGCAACAATAATGAACAGAGTTCAATATCTAGTAGGCAAACCAGTACATTTATGTCCTCATTGTCAGGTGGGTTTCAGTCCTTCCTAGAGGAGACAAATTCAGAGCCATCTAAATCTGAATTGACTAGTTACCTTGAAGACAAAACCCATCCAATTATGGATCCAAATTTCAGAGTAGTTGATTGGGGGAGGTTCAATGCTCATAGATATCCTATCATGGCAAAGATGGCAAAGAAGTTCTTGACTATACCAGCAACTAGTGTCTCATCGGAGTCAACATTCTCTACGAGCGACAGAATTCTTGATGACTATCGTAGCTCTCTCAGCCCAAACATGGTCGAGGCACTTGTTTGTGCTTCTAGCTACATTAAAGGATCAAAAGAACACCAGCTTAAAACTACAATTACAGTGGTAATATTTCTTGTTCTCTACTGTGCATTATCTTCTTGTAACCTTAGACTCTTGCTAAATGTTAACTCAAATTGCATATTTGCACTTACCTTTGTAGGGAGATGGCAATGATGGCGATGTCGAGTTCATTCCATTTCCTGAAGATACGACAGAAAGCAACTACTAGGCCTCCCATATTCTTACTGTGTGTGATTGTATTGCTGTAGCATTGTACTATTGTTTATTTGCTTGCATCATAACTAGTGAATTTCTCTTTGTCTATGTAGGAAGATGAAATTGATGAACTGGTGAACAACTTATGTGAGGAGCAGGAGCTACTTTGCACTTGCTCAGCTAGAAGCTATCATTTTATTTCGGTCATTGTTAGTTATGCAAGACCTTATGTTGATGAAGTGTCGTGTTGAAGTGGCGAAGTAGTTAATATAATATGTACTGCTAGTCTGCTGATCGGACTTGATCCAATGTTGAGCGCCTAAGCCATGTTCAACTTTGTCTTTTGAAGTCCTAGACTTGTCTTTGTCAATACCTCAATTTTGAAGTCCTGGACTTGTCTTTGTCAATGCCTCAATGGCCCTAAGTATGAACTATAATGGAGGTCTGACTTATGATTGTGTCACTCTGTGTTATTGTTCAAATGTTCTTTAATTGTGTCATTGTGTGTTGCTGCTAGCTATTGATTGTCGCATTATGTGCTACTATTTGGAAATAATAAATTTGGCAAAGGTTGATGCATGACTACTTTGCTAGCTTCTGAACTGTTTACAACTGTAACGAGCACTCGTGGAGCGCTGAGTATTTGACGAACCGAGCCGATCAAGAATTTGAACTCGTTAAAGTTAACGAGCTTAACGATCACGAGCTTAACGAGTCGAATAGCTCGTTAGTCCAGCCCTGACTCACTGCGTGTGTTGCAACCTACGCGCCCACCATCTGTGTGGCCATGAGCTGTAGTGCAGCCTCGCTGAGAGGTTTGGCGCAACCACCGGGGAAACACCAAGCCAGTCGTCCTGGAGGACAGCACCCCTCACCCTCGATGTGTCGTTTTGCTACTGCGAGGTGAGGCTGAGATGACGGGTCTACTCTCCTCGCTGGAGCCCAAGCCATCATGCCACTGATGGCCTGCGGTTTGAAAGTTGTACGACTAAACTGACACACCTTCAATAATTTTAGAATCTAATACTGCAGTTTCAAAGTTATAGGACTAAACCGACACACCTCCAGTAGTTTTTAGGGCTAAAACTACAGTTTTGAAGTTATAGGACTAAATTGACACACCTCCAATAGCTTTAGGACTTATGATGCACTTTACTCTAAAAACACTAACAATGCTTGTTCCGACAAAGTTTCACATTTTTTTTACAGTTTCCTATTATTATTATTTTTGCGTAAAT